TCTGGGTTATTGAAAGGTCTTTCCAGGCACCTGCTTCCAGTTTGGGGATGGAGCAGAGAGAGAGCTTCCCCTTGTGCTTTGGTGGCCCAGACCTTTACAAGGGCACTGCTGCCAGCACTGCCCCCTGCACTTCGGGAGGATATCCCACATTGCTCAGATGTTTCTTGTGCATTTCTTATTTTGCCCTTCACATGGTCAAACCTGCTAAACAGCCAAGCCCGAGTCTCTGACCACCTGGCCACGCAGTGCTATTGAAGGCATGTGAATATCTATGACTGATAATACAGAAATGTGCTTCTAATAATTGTGCTTTTATTGTTACAGTATTGTAGCTGCCAAGGATGGGGGAAACCAGCTGTATTTTTCACTCTTGCAGTGATCACTTTGTGATCATTACAAGCATGATGCTGTGTCACAGTCTGCAAACAGAGGAGGAAATTATGTAGGTGAGCCTGGGGATATTATTTGTGTTTACATGAACTCCCCTGTGCTGTAGCTGTTTTAGAGCTGCTGTTACGTCTCAATTGACTAAATTGGAGATAAATACTCTCTATCTAGTTTTGAATGCCATGGACAGTCTAAAAGACTGCACCAGGTGGAAAACAACCCCAGTTCTCTGGATTTGGTGCCAGTAGCTGAGGCAGTGTGGTGTCAGTGCTTTGCTTTTCCCATATATTAGCTCTAAGGAAGATTTTCTTTATGATGAGGGTGGTGAAATGCTGGCACAGGTTGTCCAGAGAGGATGCCTCATCCCTGGAAACATCCAAGGCCAGAAACCATGGAAGTCACCGAGCCATTCCCTAAAAATCCTTTGCAGCCAACAGGATGTGTGCTGGAAGCTTGAAGACAAACAGAACAAATCACTGCTCCTGCTCTCAGGTGGAAAGCACTGGAGCAACAATCCAAATAGATCCCTTAATGAGAAAAGGAATTTATTGCTCTCATGATTTCTTCAAGCAGATAAACAAGAAAGCCATTACATGAACTTCAGGAGCACATTGAGCACACTCTCCTCTGGAAAACAACATTCCCACAGCGCAGGGGCGGTTCAGCAGCACATCCTACAAGGAATTTACAAGTGGGCTGCACTCTGGTGCAGAGACCTGTATTAGCTGCTTCAAGGGCTTGCTCCCATTCCGGGCCTGCTCTTTGAAGATGGCTCTAACCTTGCACAGGCCCACAGCAATTTTACTGCTCAAAGCATCAGACAGCTGAAATCACCCAAAAAAAAAGACATCGTTCTCCTTTCTATTTCCAGATTGTTATCCTAGAAAAAAAGAAAGGAAAAAAAAAAAAAAAAAAAAAAAAAAAAAAAAAAAAAAAGGCTTTTCATCTGCTGTTGGTTAGAGCTCAGCCCCTGCTTGGTTTCAGTCTGGAAGGAGGAAAAGTGCAGTGGGAGCTCTTTGTTCCAACAGAAACTCCACAAGGTCAGAGGCAGATGAAGCCTCACTTGAAATAAAAGCTGCCTCCTCAAAAAAAAAAAAAAAAAAAGCTTTTCATCTGCTGTTCTGTTGGTTAGAGCTCAGCCCCTGCTCGGTTTCAGTCTGGAAAGAGGAAAAGTGCAGTGGGAGCTCTTTGTTCCAACAGAAACTCCGCAAGGTCAGAGGCAGATGAAGCCTCACTTGAAATAAAAGCTGCCTCCTCCAGAGATATCAATGCCCTATGCTGGGGTTAACTGACAAATGATGGATTGCTTGGTGCTCCCTGTTTACATGGGAGAGTCCTGCTTCAAACTTCTCCTTGCCAGGAGAAGACAGGCAGTGTAAGAGGAGGATGGTGGTGTGCAGGGGGGCACAGATTGTACAGCAGCAGATTTTCCTTTCTTCGAAGTGCTGTATCCACACTCCTCAATCATGGACATATTTACCATCAACACCTTTGGTAGCAAAGGCTAACAGATTTACCATCCACATCTTTGTTAACAAAGTAAGAGAACAGTACCATAGTTGCCAAGGATTGTCTGGTGATTCCAGGTCAGTGAGGGCTTGGAGTCGTCAGGGCTGGAGCTATTCTACCTTCTCAGTTTTGAGAACAGTTTTCTGTGATGGAAATGAGTTTGGCAGAAGTCATATAGGGAAGCAACAGAAAAAATAGCAAAAAGCAAAGGGTATTCCTATCTTCCACTGTTGACAAATACTATCCAGTGATCAAATCAGGATCCTCTGCCTAGCTCAGGGCTCCAGCCCTGTGTGCTCAGCTCATGTCCAAGGGCTTCCTCTGTGAACACAGTGCCAAAGGAATTGTCTTCCATGGCCTCCACAGATCCAAATGAGCTAACAGATATTCTGGCCCCTCTGGACAAAGAAAAATTCCTCCCGCTGAAAGCAGACCCTTCAAAGCCTCCCTAATGCTGCAGAGCAGGTCTATTTGCCCCATGTCAGCTACATGTCATGACTGGCTGTGTCTGTTTTAGGCTATCACCCACTCTGACTGACACTGTGAGAGGGTCAGGGCCTGGGAGAGACTTCCAAACCTTTATATGAATAATGTAAAGTGCAGAAGTGCTGATTTCTGGGTTAAATTAAGCTCCAGGGGATCTCCTGTACCTCGCACAGGAGTTGTGGAAGTTTCTTTGAGGAGAGTTCTACACACTTTTCCCAGAAACCATCATACATTTTAATTACTCCTTTCACACATTCAAGCACTTTATATGCAAGCCAACCTTCCAGGCAAGTGTCTTTTTAATAACTTTTTAGTTAAGCCTGGTACTTTTCATTTCACCAACCATTTACTCTTCCCATATAACAGACCTCTGCTCAAAATATGTACCTCTGGATGCCAGAGGTACAAATTCCACTGACTGTTAGCACTAAAAAGCAGAATAACTGGATGTTCCCAATTACCATAACTGCCTAAGCAGAACTGTCACACAACATAAAGGTGTGCATAAGCGGTGCAGTTTAAATGGATATTAAACCACCCTACAGCAGGAGCATCCCCATACCCAAAGGAAAAGCAGGATGATGAACAGGAAAGATTGTAGCTGATAACTTCAAAATGGGATTAGAAAACGAGTGTGGAAACAATGCAAGATAGCCTCTGGAACAACTTTGTCAGTTTGCTGTCTGCCCTCTCTCCAGGTCACCTCAGATGGTGCTGAGCAGCACGGTCCCCACAGAGCACCACTGGTGACCTCCCTCTGCAGATCACTCACCCACAGCCAGCCAGGACTCTTTTCATGCAAAGATCTTTCCTTTCTGAGAGGCTGAACAGCCTTCAGATAAGTCTGAGCTGTTGCTAAGGGGCCCCATCAAAGGCCTTTGCAAACCTAAAACCGAACTGGAGCTTCCTGCAGAGGGGATGTTGGAGAAATCTCACTCAGGGCCCAGCCATCCCTGATTACAAACACACACAGACCACAGAACACATCCCTCAGGGGCAGGATGCACATCGGTTCCCTCATCTGGAGATTTCTTTGAGGAATGAAATGGAAATGATCCATTAGTGACACCAATTAGTCTCCCATTTATAATCAAGCTAAAGTTTTGTTGTGAACAGTGGTAAATCTTGATCTGAGCCAAGAACCTGACATCAAACACAACAGGACCTGCTGTGTGACACCTCAGCTGCTGCACAGATGGGAGATGCTGAGCTGCCAACGTCCCTTTTTATTCTATCAAATATGGAAACAAACGGCACAATCAGTACTTTTTATTAAATAACCTGGTAATAAATGCAAAGGTACATTACCCTGGAGCTTTACCTTCATTTTGCTACACAAGCTTCCACTGAAAAGGCAGAAAGCCCTACAAAGAAATGAATGAATTTATGGCAGCTGGTAAGAAAAAAGGAAGCAAGGAAGCAAAACCTTCGGACATGGAAAAGAAATTCAGGCTGCAACTTCAGGACAAACTGGATGCTTCTACCACAGTGCTTAACAGCAGATTTAAAGCCATTATTAAGTTTCAAAGTTAAAGCCCCATTGCTGACACTGAGGCATTACACACCTCTTGGAAGTTACAGCCTTGGAGGATTTGTCAACACCTGCCCAAGTCTGCCAGGATAATTCCTAAGGAAATTTTTCTTCACTAACCATTTGAATCTAAATCAAAGTGAAGAGTCTAACAGACACTTTGGGCAGTACTTGGACACACCACAGAACTTGCTTTTGTTATAGGAAGCTTCCCTATGTGTGAAAACATTTAAATGAAGAAGGTTCTTGTGCAATGAGTAGCAAAAGTGGCTTCAATTTGGTCTTTTGCTCTTTGAATTTTGTGTCCTCAAACATTTCTTTCCACAACACTCAGCTGGTTAGATTTAATGTGCATGTTTCCATCAGAGACACAAGTGTCACTCCAAAAGCATGCACCACCATAGCCAAAATGAAGCTTCCCCCATTATTAACAGACATTCAACCCATCACTCAAAAGTGCATAAAGTATTGGTACTCTCTCAGATAGAAACATTCTGAAATACAGCTGGTAACTGTTGTGTTTATTAAGGAACTGGTTTGTAAGTGGAGTTTGTTTTTTTGGGTTTTTTTTAATAACCAACACAATACTTCCCCTTCCAAATAAAAAGAAGTGTAACAGAAAGAAAAACTCAGCAAAATACAAGGAAAGAGGGGCAACCCTGGACTGTTCTAAGTTAGTGAGTTAAAAGATCTCCAAACCCAAAGAGGCATCACACTCATGAGGGCAGGGCCAATTTATCCAGTGAATTCTCCCAGCCTCTGCTTGCGGATCCTGCACAAAGCTCGAGCGGATGCATCGCCAGTCCAGCAGAGACAGAGCACGCACATGCGAGTGGTTTCAGTCTCCTCAAGTCTCCCAATTCATTACTCAGGGGTAATTAGGTTATTTTCTCATACAAAGCAGTTTAAAGCCAGGCAGTGCAATCCTTCTCAGTACAAGTTCCAGAGCTCCCTGTGATGCAGCATTGCTGCATCAGCCACTGCTGGGCAGTGGGTCTGGACTGCGCAGAGCACACACCACAGGGTGCTTTTCCAGCCCAGCCGAGCAGACCTCATTCAGGTACAACACAACCACAGAGACCCCAGATTAAGGTTTGTCCAACTTGTGTGTGCGCTCGTGCCTCCGCAGGGTTCCTGACTCGGTGAAGGAATGGCCACAGAAATTACAGGAGTAGGGCTTCTCTCCGGTGTGGATGCGGTGATGGCGCTGCAGCGATGCCAGCCGGGTGAAGGTCCCTCCACATTCCTCACAGTAGAAGGGCCGTGCCCCGGAGTGAGTCTGCTGGTGTCTCTTGAGCCTGAGCAGCTGCACAAACGCCATGCCACACTCCTGACACTTGTAGGGCTTGTCCTCCCGGTGGATCACCTTGTGCTTGGACAGCAGGTTGGGCTTATCGAAGCTTTTACCACACGTCGGGCAGGCGTAAGGTTTGAAGTCATCCTCCTGAGGCTTTGGGTTTGCAGGGCAAGCCCGATCCGGGCACTCAACATTGTGCTGCTGGCCGTGGTGTACCACGGACCAGGGGTTCCTGGCCATGCCGCTGGCCAGGATCACCATGGAGCGCTCGATCTTGTGCACGTTGCGCAGGTGCCTCCAGACGTCGGCCGTGCGGATGAAGCCCTTGTCACACTCCGGGCACTTGTGCGGCCTCTCGCTGGAATGGATGAGCTTGTGCATGCGCAGGTTGGCGGCGCGGGAGAAGCCTTTGGAGCAGATGGGACAGCGGTAGGAGTTCTCCAGCAGGTGAGCTCGCCTGTGCTCCTGCAGCTCGCTCATGCCGTGGAAGGAGGAGCCACACTTCTTGCATCGATAGGGCACAGCTTCCTCGGGGACGCGCTCCAGCTCCTCACCAAGCGCATCTCCGAGAGCGGCGCTTCCGTTGTCCTCACGGAGTTTCGTTATCGTCCGTGGTTTCCTGGGGTGCTCAGAGGAACAGTGATCTAAATCCTCATCTTCCCTCTGCAGGTGGAAGCTGGTGCTGGAGGGGGGAAACTCCCCAGCTGGGCTCTCACCTTGTTTCTGGCAGTAGGTGTCACAGGTTTCTTTGCCTCCACACCGCAGGTCTGCAGGAAACTCCTGCTTTCCCGCAGCTCCAGCAGAGTTTCCAGGAGGACTGCAGGAGTAATTCATGTCCACCTCCTTCTGTGGCCTGCAGCTGTGGCCCACCTGCTTTGTGGCCTTTCTGGGATAAATTGAATTCTTCCCCCCTGTGTCACAAATGTTATTCTCACTCACATCCATCCTCTGAGGCAAACACTGTGTTCATCTGCAGCTCATCATCACCCAGAGCTTTGTGTCTTTCATGGTAAGTTCATTCTCAGCTCTTCTGAGAGTCCTCCCTAGAAAATAAAACACCTGTTTCACCAGTGATTCTTCTGATATTATAAATTTATAACAGTGAAGGTATTTTTCTGATTCAAAGAAAGGAAGAGACAATCAGATATGCAGAAGAAACAGAATCATCTACTATTAGATAAGTAGAAAATACATATTCAGCACATAAAACGCAGACCATGTTCAATAAAGTTAAATCCACTATCATCAGCCAGCCTTCACTACCAAATATAAATTGACAATTCCAATTTTAAATTTTTCTAAAGATGAGAAGTTACAGTATCCCAGAATGGTTTGGGTTGGCAGGGACCTCAAAGACCATTTCATTCCAACCCCCTGCCATGGGCAGGACACCTTCCACTAGACGAGGTTGCTCCAAGCCCTATCCAAACTGGCCTTGAACACTTCCAGGGATGTGGCAGCCACAGCTTCACTGGGCACCCTGTGCCAGGTCCTCACCACCTTCACAGTGAAGAATTCCTTCCTAATAACTAATCTAAATCTCTCCTCTTTTAGTTTAAACATGTTTCCCTTTGTTCTCTCTCTGTGAAATGTTGCTCTCCTTCTTTTCTGTAAAATCCCTTCAACTACTGGAAGGTGAGATAAGACATCTGAATATAAGCATACATATTAATGAACACATGTCTGTAAAAACATAAATATTTCTGTATTTCCACATGTACATAAATGTAAAACTTGACTATTTAGTTTCAGCAGGCTTATCAAATGCAGTTATTAAGGCAGCAATGTGCATTAAGAGAAAGCTCTTATTCACATTCCAGAAAGGCTGGCTCCATCAGCAGCACAAGCCAGGCTTTCTTCTGTTGGAGACATGGAAAACAATCTGGATTAGTCCTCATTAGTCACTGCCTGGAACAGCGTGGCTCGACTCACCCCCACTCCAGCCATTCCGGACAATTTAATAAGGAGCTGCTAACAGCAGTATTCCTCACCTCCTGCCCTCCAGCTGAGCTGCCGATGCCTTTGGGGCAGGAAAACTTTCCAAGGGATGCTGGCGCTGCTTGGCTTAAGAGAACTCCATAACCACGGCTACCCATTTCCTGCAGAAGGGTGGGGGGCGGTGTGGAAACCACGGCGTGGGCTGAAAAACAATAACATCAACAATAAATACATACACATACACATATATGTATATATAATAAAAAAGAAGAATTTTTTTTGTTGTTGCTGTTGTTCTAGGCAGCATGACCCCCCCCAACTTTTCCCGTTCCCTGTTCTCCCGCCCTACCTGCGCGCTGCGGGTCCCGGTGCGGCCCCGCGCATCCCCCGCGCATCCCCCGCGCCGGCGCGGAGCCCGCGGCAGCGGCACCGGCGCAGTGGCGGCTCGGCCGTGCTGGAGCTGCCAGCAGCGGGGCGGGACCGGACACCGCCTCCCCTCCCCGGCCACCGCGTCCCCTCCCCGGCCATCGCTCCCCGCCCGGCTCCGCGGCCGGGCCCTTCCCACCGCTCCGGCTCGGGGGATCCCGGTGCTCCAGGAGCCTGTTCATGGAGTCATGGAATGGTATGGCTTGGAAGGGACCTCGAATGTCGTCTCGTTCCAGCCCCCTGCCGCGGGCAAGGACACCTTCCTCTAGACCAGGGTGCTCCGAGCCCTATCCAACCTGGCCTTGGGCACTTCCAGGAGCAACCACAGCTTCTCTGGGCAGCCTGTGCCAGCGCCTCCCCACCCGCACAGGGAAAAAAAAAAATCTCCCAATATCTAATCTAAACCTACTCTCTTTCAATTTGAACCCATTCTCCCTTGTCCTGTCACTCCAGCTCTTGCACACAGTCTTGCCCCACCTTTCATGTAGGCTCCCTTTGTGTACTGCAAGGCCACAATTAGGTCACCCCAAAAGCTGAACACTCCCAGTTCTCTTGGCCTTTCCTCACAGCGGAGGTGTTCTGTCCACCTTGGTATGCTCCTCTGGAGTCGCCCCAAGAGGTTCAGTGCCCTTCCTGTCCCTCTGCTCCAGCTCACAGCAATTCATGGAGTGTCCCCTGTGCCCCCCACCATGACAATAACTCTGCATCCATCTTCCTGCAGGAGTGTGGCAGGGACTGATTCCCTCTCAGGCCCTGCTTTGTCGGAAGAAAGGGGCTCTGCCCCTGTCAGGAGAGATCAATCCACCTCCCAGGATTGTGTCCCACTTCCTACTAGAAAAGTCTTTGCACCCAAAAGGACATTCAGCACCTTCAGCGACGCCTCACCGGGGCCTTGCACAGCGGCACCAGTTCCTTGGGAACTCCTTTGCCCAAACATCCAAGGATCCCACCTGCCTTTGCCAAAGCCACAGCAGGATCATGGTCCCCAGCTGAAACCACTCTCCAACATCTCTGTGTAACCTCATGGAGATTGCTCCAGCTTTTTTTTGGGAAGCTTTGCAGTGCCTTTTCCTACCAAAACTCCTCCAGCTTTGGGGAATGGGCTCCACAATTAGCAGCAAATACAGAACTGAAATGACAAATCAACAAGAGTGTACACTGCCAGCATGCAGATATGGTATAGAAGAATGCTCCTAGCTCTGTATTATTTTTGTGATTGCACAGATCTTGCTAAAAATAGACATGAAACCAGAAATTGTTCTACTGGGAGTTGAGGGTGAGGAAAAGAAATGCACCTACTCCTTCCACATGGAAAAGCAAGTTACTTCTGAGAGCACAGTAAGTGGCAGTTCAGTTCCTTCAGATGAGGCACTTCAAAAATAAGTTTGCAACAATCCTTTAATGGCAGTCCTTGAATCCATGAGGAGCCCACACTCTGCTTGGAGTGGCAAACCTTGCAGGGGAAGAACTGTCATTCCAACTTTCCCAAACTAGGGAAAAAAACCAACACAGCTCAGAAGATTTCTGTTGTTTTTACTGTATTTTTTTTTCAGAATTTAAATGCTTAGATGTATCTTACTTAGCTGGGCAGGGTAAAGGCTATCTCCCACCTAGACCCAGGATGTACAGAATCACACAGCCCTTCCACATCCCTCATAGAAGACAAACACACACCCCCTCCCCTTTTTCATAAGGAAAACTCTAGGAATACATAAGCACATGCATCCACATCCTCACAGCCAAGCATGTTTGTGTGGGGCCAAGATGATGAATGGCCAGTTTTTAAAAATTCCAAATTGTGGTTTATCACAACCACCAAGGAATGGTGTAGTGCCAGCAGTGTCCTTCCTCCGGGGGATCATGGAGGAAAAGGCCCAAGTCCGTGTTCTCCTCCTCAAAAGCATCAATAAAAATGATGTTTTCCTCATCTCCACTTATCCTCCCTTGAGGTTCCTCAGAGTGTTCAGAGAAAAAGAATTCTCAACATTCATCTCCACTCTGCAGGTCAGGCTTTGTAGGTTGATTCAACCACACTTTTGGTAGGAAATTTTTAGGTCTCCTCTTCTTGGCACTGCAGTTCCATATGGGTTTCCTGTTGGACTGAAGGTCTCACAGGATGCACCTAAGGCGTGGTGAGGAATCTTCCATCAGCTCCAGCTTCCCACTCTTTAGGAGGCTTCTGTGGCATCACCTGGGTGTTCCTCACCTTTGTGACAACTGTCAGCACCAGGAAGCAAGCCTGCCTCCCACCTGTGGTATCACACAGTGCTCACTTGTTAGGAAACGTGGAAACTCTCAGGCAGTGCAAATTCTTGGGCTTCTTTCATGCCGGCTTCCTCAGGAAAGAAACAAGAATTTCATTATCTGCCAGGCAAAGTTAGTATTTAATCTGCCAGTTTAATTGAAAATACTTCAGTGGTGGTAAATAATGCAGAGCAGTGCAAACGATGCCTCGTGGGTGAGATCAAAGACCCCGGGCAGCACCAGGCAGGGCCTCGAGGCTGCTGTTGTTGGGCTGAGATGAGACAGAGAAGGATTCTGTGCAGGGTAACAAAACCAGCGTGGACACACCCCACACCTAGACTGGGAAAGTGTCCACACACTCATCAAATCCATCAGCACAGCCCCAAACTTCCCTTCTGGCTTTGATAACACAGAACGCTCTGTCAGGGTTTCCATTTTAGCATAAAATAACAACAAAATTCAGAGATCTTGCTCTGTTGGTCCTCAGACAAACACATTTTGCTCCATCAACTTCCACACGTTTTGATTTTTTTTCTCTTAATACTGAGATATTGAAATGTTTTCTGCTTTCTCTTTCACATGTTGCATCTGCAAGCCCATGATTTCATTAAACTCTGCATTCTAAGCCTTTCCCATCAGCCTTGATGAGTTCGTCCAGCACACACACACACACACACACACAAAAATCAGCTGTAATCCTCAAGGAGAAGGCAAAAAACTAATTGAATCACCCACTTCCTTACAATATATGATTCCTATTAAAATTGCATTATTGGTGTTTTGTGCCTGCCCCACATTCATATTCCCAACACACACATTTGTGGACGCCAAATCCTTTTTATTTATGCTGCCTCACTTTTATGTGTCTTAAATGTGAAGAGTGTGTCAGGACAGACAAGGATCTCTAATGCATTTGCCAGTTAGATCTACTCTGGAGAGATTTCTTAATTCAAATTTTCTGTTAAATTCACTAAAATATGTGAACTCGTGGTTCACATTGCTTGCACAATGGGAGCTTAATATATTTTGTGAAGGGTTTAACATCACATTCCATCAAATCTGAAATTTTTATGGGTCATAGAGTTTTCTGACATCTGGCTACTCTGTTTTAGGACTGTCATAAACACTTTAAACATCTGAGAGCTTCAGACTTCTCTATGTAAAACATCGTAAGCAAGGTTTCTTCTAAGAAGGAGCTGAATCAAGAGAGATCTCACTGATATTTGGGTAAGTTTGAGCTTTTAACCTCCCCAGGGGGAAGCTGGACCCCTTCAGCTCACCAAACTTAAACCTGCAGTCCTTTTGGGGATTTTGAAAGGACACCCACACAGGACCCTAAGAGCTCAGTTAAAAGAAGGTTCAGGATCTCTGGTGCAGAGAATTGTTTCACTCCATCCATCTCCATCCTGTTACCCTAACACACATTTTACTGACGTTTTCCAGGATCTTCCACATCTTTGGGTCCAGTGAACTGGCATCTCATGAATGAGCCATTCAGAAGAAACACCAAAAAACCCCAAGTTCTGACTACACCTGTTGGATAAAGCTTTTTTCTGACTCAGAGACGGGGTAACTGAGAGGTGTTTTAAAAACTTTTATTCTGTTTTTAGTTTAATGTGAAGGGTGAGATAATATATATAATATAATATATAATATATAATATATAATATATAATATATAATATATAATATGTAATATGTAATATGTAATATGTAATATATATTATGTAATATATTATATGTATTGAGATATGAAATGTTATAATTTACACTGTTGTAACAGAACCAAACTATTTCTTAATTGTAAAATACCATAAGTGCTTTTTTGGCTTATTAGCTTTTGTTACACTATGTTGTAAATGCTTTAAAGCTAATCATCTAAAATTACTCTTTGTGCATCTTACTATAATGTATTTTTTTTAGTTTTATTTTTCTAAAGTATTTAGTCTTATTTGGTAAGGCTTTCTTTTGAAACTTGTTTTTAGTTTAATTTCTCTCTCAACAATATCTGTCCTATTCTATGGCATTTCTATGTCAGCATTTCTTATCTCAAGGTTTGCATACAGATGCACACTGTGTGAACTTTCCGTCAGGCTTTTTGGGAATTTTCTACAAATCCATTTCCCACATACACCAAAAGCCAGACAGAGGTCCAAAATCCAGGATCAGGCTGTAAAGAACATGGAAAAATTAGCAGGAACAAACCACGAAAGGGCTGTAAGAAACAGTCTGGTTGAGGAATAACTTCCTGGCATGCTTTAGCTTCCCAAACTTGCATTTTCCTCTGCACATATTGATGGACACTCAGCAAATTTCTAGGCAAAAACTGCAGTCTGATTCTGTAAATATGCCTGGCTGGAGATGCAGGACTGTAAAAGAGCCTGGCAGGGAATAACCTGACCCTTCTAGTGCTGGATGAAATGTGCCTGTGCAGCAACATCCTCATCCGTTGGTTTGGAGGAGCTGCATCTCTGATCTGGGGTCTGGAAGCCCCAAAAATGCATCCATGAGCTTGCTAAAGAGTTAAAGGGGAAATCTCTACCTGGGCTCTGCACTTATTTGTTCTAACAGAATTCCTAGATTGGCTCAGGACAGCATTTAATAAACTATTCAATAACCGTTCAGCACAAAGGATTTTTACTGCAGCTCTTCATGAAGTTTATATGAGAAGTTTATATGAGGGTATATATAGTGGTGTCTCAGGAAATCACAAACTCTCGGCGAGTTCTTTTCCTTCCTCTTTTTCATGCCTCTGCTCGAGCAGAAAGGCGGGGCAAGGTGATCCAGAGTGGTCCCTCCCAACCTGAATCATTCTGGAATTTAAAACGGGAGCTGACCGAGCAGCTCCGGCTGCACCGGGGCCACCCCAAAACCCTGCCAGAGGCATTTCCCCAGCCTGTCCCAAGGCTGTCACACCCCCTGTCACACCCCCTGTGACAGACAGAGCCAGGGATCTGCCCCTGTCACACCCCCGGTGACAGACAGAGCCAGGGCTCAGCCCCTGTCACACCCCCTGTGACAGCCACACCCAGGGCTCAGCCCCTGTCACACCCCCTGTGACAGCCACACCCAGGGATCAGCCCCTGTCACACCCCCTGTGACAGCCACACCCAGGGCTCAGCCCCTGTCACACCCCCGGCAGGGCGGACGCAGCTGGGGACAGCCCCTGTCACACCTCCAAAGTGACTGACACTGCCGAGGACGTCCTTTGTCACATCCCCGGTGTGACAGACACGGACAGACACCTCCCCTGTCACACCTCCAGTGTGACTGACATCACCAGGGACCGCCCCTGCCACGCCTCCAGTGTGACTGACAGGGACAGGGACATCCTTTGTCCCACCCCCAGTGTGACTGACAGGGACAGGGACATCCTTTGTCACACCCCCAGTGTGACTGACAGGGACAGGGACATCCTTTGTCACACCCCCAGTGTGACAGACACATCTGGGGACCGCCCCTGTCCCA